ATTGTAGAAAAAAGTTAAACTTAACCCCGCCCACCGTGTTCTTTCATTTTTACTTCCCAAGCGTAAGCAAAGGAAGTATTGTAATCGAGTCCGTCGGCCGACTCTCTACTTTTACGTTTTCTCGATCTTTCATGACCCCTAGAAAACGTAGAAATAGGTCTCCTATTTCCGTCTGTCTGTCCGTCTGTCCGTCCGTCTGTCCGTCTGTCCGTCCGTCTGTCCGTCCGTCTGTCCGTCCGTCTGTCCGTCTGTCCGTCCGTCTGTCCGTCTGCCGTCCCGGATTTTTATTAGACAGATAATCTCCGAAAGTACTCGACCGATTGTTGTGAAATTTTGTACTTATATTAAGAATATCATGTAGATGGTAAAACGCTAACCAAAATTTGCTAATCATCCTCACCACTAATGCGATGACGTCACTTCAAAATTGTACATAGTAAATGGGTTTTCAATTGTATAAAATAACATAGTCCTACACATGTAGTTTAGAACAACAATCGACTTTTCACCCGAAACGTCCAGCTTTTTGGAAAAAAAATCAAAATTATAAAACAACATTTTGAAATTTAATTTTTAATCTGCTAACCAGAATGCTTTGGAATGTTGCAGATGTTTTAAGGCTATAAAGAGCATCATAAATCTTTAGTCAAAAAATATTTGCTTATCCCCTCCAAAAACTTGATGACGTCAGCTCAAAAGTTTGTGGAATAAATCATATCTAAAATGTACAAAATATGATGAGTCTGTACTTGTGATCTATCACTCCATTCATATTTTTTGGATTTGCATATACAGGGTGACTCAAAAAAATTAATGAATGCGTAAATATATTTTACTGATTTACTCAGAAACTACAAAACCGAATGCTTTGAAATCTTGCAGATGTTTTAAGGTTATAAAGAGCATAATAAATGTTTAGTCAAAATATATTTGCTTATCCCCTCCAAAAACTTGATGACGTCAGCTCGAAAGTTTGCCGAATAAATCCTATCTAAACTGTAAAAATATGATGAGTCTGTACTTGTAATTTATCACTCCATTCATATTTTTTGGATTTGCATATACAGAGTGACTCAAAAAAATTAATGAATGCGTAAATATATTTTATTGATTTAATCAGGAACTACAAAACGGAATGCTTCGAAATCTTGAAGATATGTATTTTAAAATTATCATAAGCATGGTAAATTTTTGATCAAAATGTATTTGGTCGTCCCCCCTAAAAAATTTATGACGTCACCACAAAATTTTGCTGAATAAATCCTATCTAAAATGTACAAAATATGGTGAGTCTCTTCTTGTGATTTATCATTCCATTCGAATTTTTTCGATTTGCATATACAGGGTGACTCAAAAAAATTAATGAATGCGTAAATTTATTTTATTGATTTAATCAGGAACTACAAAACCGAATGCTTTGAAATCTTGCAGATGTTTTAAGGTTATAAAGAGCATAATAAATTTTTAGTCAAAATATATTTGGTTATCTTCTACAAAAAACTGATGACGTCAGCTCAAAAGTTTGCCGAATAAATCGTATCTAAAATGTACAAAATATGATGAGTCTGTACTTGTGATTTATCATTCCATTCATATTTTTGGATTTGCATATGCAGGGTGACTCAAAAAAATTAATGAAGGCGTGAATTTATTTTATCGATTTAATCAGGAATTACAAAACCGAATGCTTTGAAATCTTGGGAATATTTTAAAGTTATTATAAGCATGGTAAACTTTTGTTCAAAATGTATTTGTTCATCCCTCCTTAAAAAATTGATGACGTCACCCTTAAATTTTGCTGAATAAATCCTATCTAAAATGCAAAAACTATGATGAGTTTGTACTTGTGATTTATCATTCCATTCATATTTTTTAGATTTTCTTAAGAGGTGGTTCAAAAAAATTAATGAAGTCAATTTATTTTATTGATTAAATTAAAAGCAACACTTATTATTAGTATTACACCCCAACCAACCCAATTTGGTAGACACAAAATGTGTTAAAGGAAAAACTCAGTTGAAACATAAGGGTAGCACGCTTATTTACATCGACTTTAACATTACAGACCTGCATTTGTTTTATGCGCTCACTTGGTTCCGCGAATGTGGAATAGACATGTTTATAATCAACCAATTGTGAATTTCACCGTCAAGAATTAAAATAAACCCAATGTTTTATATAATAAGCGGAAGTCGAAGCAATAAAACCGATGGTCGTTTTGTTTACAGTTTCTCTGTTTGACTCTCACGTATGCTGTTACGCTTGTCATCTTAAATTAAGAATGTTTATACATAAACGATTTTCAGTTGTCCCTCATATTACTAGACAGCGGATTTCTGTCGGGCTACGTCACGATCGTGCTGGATCGCCGGGTGATAGATAATCACTGAATTTAATCGGTACTAATTCCATAAATATAATTAACGATTTATTAATCAAACGGCTAAGTAAATGAGAACGGGAATTAACAGCAGAGTGCAACGAAACAGCGTTATTCTAATCTCAAATAAACGAAGTGCAGTCCGCAACCGCAATGAATTCGCATCCCGTACGAGCCGTACCGAGTTTGGCCTTGCCTAGCCCGACAGAAATCCGCTTTCTAGATATTACACACCGGCGCCGTATACGTGAGTAAATTGTTTCGTTATTTTATTGATTATAAGAAATCAATATTCATAACGACCCAATTCATTTTCCCGAAAATTTGGGAATACAATAATTTTATTCTTAGTATTACACTACATCTATCCCAACTGATATACGTGTCCTTGCAAAAATGTTGATGACGTCATCACAATTTTTTTTTAAATTCCCACTACAAAAATGTAATGAGAAAAAAAAACACAATAGGCATGCAGTCGTCAAGTTTCCGACAGCGAGGGAAGTACTGTCTAAACTCTTTAGACCAATTTTTTGTTATACTATTTGTTCTAAAATTTATTTCTTATTTTATGAACCTGACCTGACTTGACCTAACGTGAACTGACCTGTCCGGACTTTTCTGTTGTCCCAGATGAAAAATTTTAAACATTTCTGGAAATAAATAAAAACCACAAAGTACATTCTTGAAATAATTTTATTTTTGTGAAACAGAAATTAATAATAATTTCCTTTCTTATTTACAAAATTTTTACAGCGAGCTATTTTGATGAAACTGTAAAAATTGTTATATGTATTTCAATTAGCGATTTTGGAAAAATGGTCGAATTTTCTATTTCTCAACAGAAGTATATTTAGATTATTCAATTTTTCGATTTCCCTGTTTTTCAGTTCTTCGATTTTTCGAGATTTCAATGTTCCGATTTTTTGAATGTGCAATTCTCGATTTTTCAATTTTTCGATTTTTGCCCACGTCGCATTTTCAGTTTTTCGACTTCTCGATCTTTTAATGTTTCGATTACTTTATTTTTTCGATTGTTCAGTTTTTCGATTTTTCAATTTATGCGTTTTTTAAATTTTGGATTTACGATTTCTTGATGTTTCAATTTCTCAATTTTTTAATTTCTATTTCTCGATCTTTAACTTCTTGGTTTTAGATTTTTTGGTTTTTCAATTTTTTGATTTTTAATATTTTTGATTTTTCGATTTCCCGAATTTTTGTCAGTTCAGTTTTTTAATTTTTTGTTTCTCACTTTTTCAGTTTTCCGAATCTCTAGTTTTCTGATTTTTCAATTTTTGCGATTTTTAAAATTTTGGATTTACTATTTCTTAATTTCCCGGTTTTTCAACTTTCCAATTTTTCGATTTTCTGATGTTTGGATTTCTCAATATTTAAAGTTTTCAATTTTTAAAATATTATATTTTTCAGTTTCGATTTCTCGATCTTTGGACTTCTTGGTTTTAGATTTTTCGGTTTTTCAATTTTTTTGATTTTCTGTTTTTTCAGATTTTCGTTTGCGCAATTTTTCTAGTTTTTCTATTGTTTAGATTTTTTGATTGTTCAATTTTTAAAATTTAAAATTTTTCGATTTTTCAATTTTTCATTACTTCAGTTTTTCGAATCTTCAGTTTTCCGATTTTTGAATTTTTGCGGTTTTTTAAATTTTGTATTTAGGATTTCTTAATTTCTCGGATGAGATGAGATAGATTTTTCAGTTATTTCTCGATCTTTCGACTTTTTAATTTTTGGATTTTAGCTGAAGTTATTGCCCAAAACGGAGCTATGACCAAGTACTAGTTTTAAATTGAAGGGTGTTGGGAGAAAACAATGAATATCACATTTTTTTTTAGTTATTAATGATTTTACTCAAATTCAATGAGTGTTTTTTTTTAAATGTTGTAAAATGGGGAGAAAACATTGGATGACTACGTAAAACTTAAACAGATGGGGAGAAAACAATACATGTCACAACGAAATCTAGACAAATAACGTAAAACTAATCTCACCCACCACCGCTTTTGAATTTCATTGGTTTTTTTGATTTGATGAAGATTGAATTTTACTACGTCAAGTAGCGAATTAGGCTTAAAAATTTCGAAGTAGCTCCACCCATCCACGGTTTTCTTTTTGGTCACTCATTTTATTGGACGAAAAGTGCATTTTATATGTATTGAACAACAGTGGAATCTAAACAAAAACCTACAACTAACCCCACCCACCTTCGGTTTTGAATTTCATTGGCTTAGATGGAAATTGAATTTTATTTTGTCATGTGATCGAATCTATTTATAAAAATTCAAAGTGGCCCCGCCCACCCACCCGATTTTCCTCATGATTACTCATTTTATTGGACAAAAAGTGGGTTTTATGTTGATAAATATTGGAATCTAGACGAAAAGGTAAAACTAACCCCACTTTTGGATATCATTGTTTTATTATTATTATTATTATTTAATAAAGAATGATTTTTACTATGTCAAATGACGAACTAGACTTAACAAAAATTCAAAGTGGAAAAATTGTATAAATAATGTTATTAAAGTGACCCTTATTAATATGTTACAAAAATATATGATACCAATGTAATAGTCTAATCACAAGTAATTTTTTCTGATTCAAGGTCGAGCAAGAATGTCAAGGCCTCCAGTATCAAGTGGAAGTCCGCAACATAACCCAACGCATCGAAAGTTTAACCGAAAAACTTGATGCAGCTTCAAATTTAGGTGAACCCCGCGAAAATGCCTTTCTTACTTGCGATTTCACTCAAAACAACAGCCTAGAAACAATCCAAGAACAATTGAGCATTTTGGGCAGAGTTCGTACAAGTACCACTTTCCCCAGTCTCTGCTCTGCAAAAATCGAAGGAGACGCCATCGCCGGAATCGAAGGTACCGTCGTCTTGCACACTGTCGATTACCACGGAAATCAGCGTAAAACCGGCGGCGACCCGATCGAAGCCGAACTGATGCCGGTCACGCCCGATCACAACACGACCGCCGTGCCGCTGGAAGTGGTGGACAACGACGACGGTACTTACAAGATAAAATTCCGAGCGCCCAAATCTGGACGATACGGCGTTAAGATTTCCATTTTCGAGCGACCAATCAAAGACAGTCCGCTGTTTTTCGACGTGTCGGAGCATAATAATCCCGTTAAGGTGTACGGTAGTCACGGGAGCGGCAAAGACGAGTTCATACAGCCTGTCGCAGTGACGGTGGATGAGAGCGATAACAGCGTTTATGTTCTAGACACGGGGAATTCCAGGATCAAGGTGTTGAACGAGGAGTTGGAATTCGTTAAACATATCACCAATGAGGGGTTGTTAGGGAGGAGTTGCACGGGAATCACGTTGTCAAGTAATGGTTTGATTGTTGTTAATTGGCGAAATAAGACTATTACGGAAATGACAAGGGATGGAGAGACTATTAAAACGTTTACTTATAATGCGTTCCAGGAGCCGATAGATGTCGCCGTGGATAAAAATTACGGGCACATTTTGGTGGCTGATAATGGGATGAATTGCGTGTTTGTTTTCGACGCAGATGGAAAAATATTGTTTCAAGTGGGAAAGAAGGGAACTTTTTCGCAGATTTCGTCGGTTACTGTGGGGCCGAACAGCGAGATTGTGGTTGCGGATTCCAAGATACAAGTATTTTCGGCGAAAGGAGATTTTATGGAAGTAATCAGAGACGAAGGAAAAGGTATGTATGCATTTTTACGACACACGGAGTAATATTTTTTAAAGTGTGTCGATGACTGATGTTGGAATAATTTTCCAGTAGCTGCATTTTTCTTCTTATTTTACAATATAACAAGCTATCACAATATTATTTATGAATAAAATTTTGATTTAGGATTGACATTCAACGGGATGACGTCATCTTCAAAATTTATAATAAAAATTTTATTTTAATTCAACAAAATAAGATACGTCTGCACTTGTGGTGTGTGAATCGGTGTCGAATTTTCACCCCAGACATCCAGAATTTTTGGAAAAAATTTAAAACTGAATAACAATATTTTGCAGTACAACTTTGAAACTGCAAAACCGATTGCTTTGAAATATTGTAAATATTTTAAGGTTACCGTAATCATGGTAAATCGTTAAGTAAAATTTGTTCGTTTAGTCCCTTCTAACAAATTACAGCCCCGTAGCTAGAAAACTTATTCAGGGGGGGCAAGTTTGTCGACAGAGGGGGCTTCATGTAAATATTTATATTTTAATAATACACTCAGATAACTACTTTATTTTTTCTGAGTTTTTATATTTGAAAGAACATTAAAGTAATTGGAAACGTCGATTTTTTACGCTAAATTTTCGTAAAAACCTGTCGAAGTCCAAAAAATTATTACGGTACTTGGTTAAAATGCTGGTTAAAACAGAGAATGTAGATTCACAAACAGCTGTACTGCATCCAAAAATTTGTGTAGTGGCCATATAGGTAACATTCAATTTGTTTGAGTTTATTTTTTTGCATGTTTAGTACACATTTTAAAAATCCGACTTCGAAACCAAATATTTCGAAAATTTTGGTACGGAACCATGAACTCGTCATGTTTTTTTAAACTCGTCGAGATGTGTATTTCAGAATTTTTTGTCAACTTTAACAAAAGCTCATTTTTTGGAAACCCATATAAAATTTTTGACTTTTCCCAAGCATTTTCGAAAATGACCAAAAGAATTCCTTTGTTCATCTCGATTTCTTCCAAAAATCGTTTTGGATTCAATTTTTTTGAAAATTCTTACATTTGTTGCAGAATCGACGGAAGAAAAATGGCAATTTTTGAGAACCTGTATCAAATTTTTGACTTTTTTCAAGCACGTTCGAAATTACCAAAAGGGATTCCTTCATTGATTTCGATCTCCAGATGTTGTTTTTGGTTGTTTTTTCGAAAATTCGTACAATTTTTCCATAATCGCCAAAAGAACTATGGTAATTTTTGAGAAGTTTTGAAAATTCCAGCTCGAAACCGAGTATTTCGAAAATTTTGATCCGGAACCTTGAACATGCCATATTTTTTTAAGTTCGTCGAAATCTATATTTCAGAATTTTTTGTCAACTTTTACGAAAGTTCAATTTATGAAAACCCATATAAAATTTTTGGCTTTTCCCAAGCATTTTCGAAAATTACCAAAAGAGATTCCTTTGTTCATCTCGATTTCCAGAAATCGTTTTGGATTCAATTTTTTTGAAAATTCTTACAATTTTTCCAGAATCGACACAAGAAATATGGCAATTTTTGAGAACCTGTGTCAAATTTTTGACTTTTTTTCAAGCACGTTCGAGATTACCAAAAGGGATTCCTTTATTGATTTCGATCTCCAGATGTTGTTTTTGGTTATTTTTTCGAAAATTCGTACAATTTTTCCACAATCGCCAAAAGAAATATGGTAATGTTTGAAAAATTTTGAAAATTCGAGCTCGAAACCGAGTATTTCGAAAATTTTGATCCGGAACCATGAACCTGTCATGTTTTTTTAAGCTCGTCCAAATCTATATTTCAGAATTTTTTGTCAACTTTTACGAAAGTTCAATTTTTGAAAACCCATATAAAATTTTTGACTTTTCCCAAGCATTTTCAAAAATTATCAAAAGAGACTCCTTTGTTCATCTCGATTTCCAAAAATCGTTTTGGATTCAATTTTTTTGAAAATTCTTACAATTTTTTCAGAATCGACGGAAGAAATATGGCAATTTTTGAGAACCTGTATCAAATTTTTGACTTTTTTCAAGCACGTTCGAGATTACCAAAAGGGATTCCTTTATTGATTTCGATCTCCAGATGTTGTTTTTGGTTATTTTTTCGAAAATTCGTACAATTTTTCCACAATCGCCAAAAGAAATATGGTAATGTTTGAGAAATTTTGAAAATTCGAGCTCGAAACCGAGTATTTCGAAAATTTTGATCCGGAACCATGAACCTGTCATATTTCTTTAAGTTCGTCCAAATCTATATTTCAGAATTTTTTGTCAACTTTTACGAAAGTTCAATTTTTGAAAACCCATATAAAATTTTTGGCTTTTCCCAAGCATTTTCGAAAATTACCAAAAGAGATTCCTTTGTTCATCTCGATTTCCAGAAATCGTTTTGGATTCAATTTTTTTGAAAATTCTTACAATTTTTCCAGAATCGACACAAGAAATATGGCAATTTTTGAGAACCTGTGTCAAATTTTTGACTTTTTTTCAAGCACGTTCGAGATTACCAAAAGGGATTCCTTTATTGATTTCGATCTCCAGATGTTGTTTTTGGTTATTTTTTCGAAAATTCGTACAATTTTTCCACAATCGCCAAAAGAAATATGGTAATGTTTGAGAAATTTTGAAAATTCGAGCTCGAAACCGAGTATTTCGAAAATTTTGATCCGGAACCATGAACCTGTCATGTTTTTTTAAGCTCGTCCAAATCTATATTTCAGAATTTTTTGTCAACTTTTACTAAAGTTCAATTTTTGAAAACCCATATAAAATTTTTGACTTTTCCCAAGCATTTTCAAAAATTATCAAAAGAGACTCCTTTGTTCATCTCGATTTCCAAAAATCGTTTTGGATTCAATTTTTTTGAAAATTCTTACAATTTTTTCAGAATCGACGGAAGAAATATGGCAATTTTTGAGAACCTGTATCAAATTTTTGACTTTTTTCAAGCACGTTCGAGATTACCAAAAAGGATTCCTTTATTGATTTCGATCTCCAGATGTTGTTTTTGGTTATTTTTTCGAAAATTCGTACAATTTTTCCACAATCGCCAAAAGAAATATGGTAATGTTTGAGAAATTTTGAAAATTCGAGCTCGAAACCGAGTATTTCGAAAATTTTGATCCGGAACCATGAACCTGTCATGTTTTTTTAAGGTCGTCCAAATCTATATTTCAGAATTTTTTGTCAACTTTTACTAAAGTTCAATTTTTGAAAACCCATATAAAATTTTTGACTTTTCCCAAGCATTTTCAAAAATTATCAAAAGAGACTCCTTTGTTCATCTCGATTTCCAAAAATCGTTTTGGATTCAATTTTTTTGAAAATTCTTACAATTTTTTCAGAATCGACGGAAGAAATATGGCAATTTTTGAGAACCTGTATCAAATTTTTGACTTTTTTCAAGCACGTTCGAGATTACCAAAAGGGATTCCTTTATTGATTTCGATCTCCAGATGTTGTTTTTGGTTATTTTTTCGAAAATTCGTACAATTTTTCCACAATCGCCAAAAGAAATATGGTAATGTTTGAGAAATTTTGAAAATTCGAGCTCGAAACCGAGTATTTCGAAAATTTTGATCCGGAACCATGAACCTGTCATGTTTTTTTAAGCTCGTCCAAATCTATATTTCAGAATTTTTTGTCAACTTTTACTAAAGTTCAATTTTTGAAAACCCATATAAAATTTTTGACTTTTCCCAAGCATTTTCAAAAATTATCAAAAGAGACTCCTTTGTTCATCTCGATTTCCAAAAATCGTTTTGGATTCAATTTTTTTTTAAATTCTTACAATTTTTTCAGAATCGACGGAAGAAATATGGCAATTTTTGAGAACCTGTATCAAATTTTTGACTTTTTTCAAGCACGTTCGAGATTACCAAAAGGGATTCCTTTATTGATTTCGATCTCCAGATGTTGTTTTTGGTTATTTTTTCGAAAATTCGTACAATTTTTCCACAATCGCCAAAAGAAATATGGTAATGTTTGAGAAATTTTGAAAATTCGAGCTCGAAACCGAGTATTTCGAAAATTTTGATCCGGAACCATGAACCTGTCATGTTTTTTTAAGCTCGTCCAAATCTATATTTCAGAATTTTTTGTCAACTTTTACGAAAGTTCAATTTTTGAAAACCCATATAAAATTTTTGACTTTTCCCAAGCATTTTCAAAAATTATCAAAAGAGACTCCTTTGTTCATCTCGATTTCCAAAAATCGTTTTGGATTCAATTTTTTTGAAAATTCTTACAATTTTTTCAGAATCGACGGAAGAAATATGGCAATTTTTGAGAACCTGTATCAAATTTTTGACTTTTTTCAAGCACGTTCGAGATTACCAAAAGGGATTCCTTTATTGATTTCGATCTCCAGATGTTGTTTTTGGTTTTATTTGGTTGAAAAGTCGTAAAATTTTTCAGCAATCGCCAAACGAAATGTAATTTTTGAACTTTGAAACCGAATGTTTCGAAAATCTTGATCTGGGACCATCTAGACCTTGTGTTTTTTGATTGAGCTCGTCGAGATCAACTTTTCAGATTTTTTTGTGGATTTTTAGTCAACTTCAACAAAAGCTAAATTTTTGAAAATCTATAAAATGTTTTTGACTTTTCCCAATCGTTTTCGAAAATTAGCAAAAGGGATCTCTTTATCGATTTCGATCTCCAAATGTTGTTTTTGGTTTATTTTCTCGAAAATTTGTACAATTTTTCCAAAGCCGCCAAAAGAAATGTAATTTTTGAGAAATTTTGAAATGTCGACTTTGAAACCGAATTTTTCGAAAATCTTGGTCCGGGACCATCAAGACCTTATGTTTTTGGATTAAGCTCATCGAGATCTACATCTCGGAACTTTTTGTTGATTTTTTTGTTAATTTCAACAAAAGCTCAATTTTTGAAAATCCATATACATTTTTTGACTTTTCCCAAGCATCTTCGAAAATTAGCAAAAGGGATCTCTTTATTGATTTCGATCTACAGATGTTATTTTTGGTTTTATTTTTTTG